TAGTGAAATAAAAATTTTATAGAAATAGAAAACTAATAGAATAGAATAGAAATAACAAACTAATTTTATACCCCATTTACACATACACGAAATCTAGTACTTATGAGATTTCGAGACAAATCTACTTGATTTTAACTAGATTTTCCATACAAAACAAAATCTACTTCATAACTAGATTTCGTTAAAATCTACTCAAAATCTAATAGTTTTTAGTGATGCAACTCTGTTTTTTCCTAAATAATACTAAAAAATTCGACACTACACAAGAAAAAAGAGGAAAACAAAACAAACAAAAAAATTAAAATGTCGACAAAATTTTTATAAATTGAAAAACATGAATGAAAAGTTAATCTAAAATAAAAGGTAATGTTATATTTAAATATCTATTTTTTTATTTTAAATGGAATTTTGATAAATATGTATCCCATTTTTCCTTCTTATTTTTCATATCACACACTTTTTCAAGAAATATTAGAAAAAATTAAATCTTCTTAAATGTCAAGAATAGTAAGTGTAAACGGACTAGATTTGGAAAAAGATTTTAAATTAAATTTACTAGATTTCGTGTATGTGTAAATGGGGTATTAGTTTATTTTAATTTCTAAGGGCGGTACATATATTAATAATTAATATCAATGTTAATCCTTGTTTTCTAGTTTTTTGTGATTCTATATAAAATAATCTTTTATAAATTAATAATTACCGTGCCAATCTACTTTATGCATTTTTCTTCCCAACTTTAAAACACAACTGAATCATTATTAAGAATTGAAGGGCTTATTGCAGTAACTCGATATGCCACCAATCATCACAATTCGATTTTATGTGCTTTTTGAGTTGCTAGTTCCTTAAAAAGATTTTTAGCGTATTATGGTAAATATAATGGTCATGCCTCTTTTTCCATTTAAACAATTTGAAAAAAATTGTATTTCATAAACTCGATATGCCACATATATTTTTTACACTTTTTAAGAAAGTCCTTTATAATGATGGAGATAAAAGCGGAATTGATTTTTTTTTATATTACTGTGATAGAACAAGTTAAGACAAGTATCATTATACGAAGAGAAAAAGTTTTTGCTCAAAATCTCGGGAGATATCATTTTTTGAAATTAAAGTGGCTTACCATGTTACTGCATAAAAATAATTTTATATATAATTATGTTGCTTACCGAGTTCTCGCTGATTGGAAAATTTTCGATTGCAAAACATCAATAAATTTTGCTTATAAATTTACTTTAATTTCGTGGAAAAATCTTATATAATGTTCAAACTATGTGCATAATATAAAGTCATATTTATCATACTAAATTAGCAAAGACATTGCAGCACATCCTATAATCTTTGTAAAACATATCACAATCAGCAGCATATACAAAAAGCATAATATTATAACGCCTGATATATAAAGTGCATATCGAAACCTCTTTTGAACAATGGACTTGAAATTTCTAAAATCCGCGCAAGACTTCTGACACAACATGCATCGAAATTCGTTCAGATGTTTAAAATTATGATCAAGAAGCAGAAAATCAACTATGCTGAATAAACGCAATATTATCTCAAATTTTAATCTGAATATTCAGTGTAAAACCCAAAATAATGTGTTTTGTCATTCTATTTTAAATACAATCATACCACAGGACCTGCCATTTACTGCATAATAATTTAGCTAAGTATATTTAGCCAAATTTATTCTCATATAAAAAAGTAAGTAAATTTCATATTGAAAATAAAATTTATAAATTTTTTTGTAGCAAGAACATGATAAGCCACTTTGAAAATGTACTAGAACTTGTTTTTTGAAAATAAAGAATGTTCAAATATGGTTAGGCAATAACTTGATATGCTACAATTTTTTGCTAAAACAGTGGTTTCCACTTTATTTATGATATCCATCTATTAGCTTACAATAGTTATCGACCTTATATGATTGTTAGGCGTGTTTAAAGTACAAATTAAAAAAAAAACATTTTTTTGAGAATTTTTTTAAACTTTAATGTCGATTTACTCAAAATTTTATTTATGTGGCATATCGAGTTACTGCAATAAGCCCTTCAATTGTGAATTCAAATTGTTTGTTTTATAACACAAAAAAAGTATTTTATTATCGAATGAAAAACTATTAAGAATTTACAAAGTCAGAAAAAATTTTCTTTCTAGAACATACTACAAAAATAATAAACAAGTGTTATTTAAAAATGAGCAAGTGGAAAAAACAATTATGTAGTATATTTTAACACTCCTCCTCAATTGCGAATGTCTTTATTGGCTTTGCATCTTAAGTTTTCCAGTTTTGAATTTTATAAAGGTTTTGTTAACATATCATATCATTTCTTCTGAAGGACAGTACTTGCATTCAATGATTTTCTAATCGATATAATCTTTAAGGAAGTGAAATTTTATATCGATATGTTTTGATCTGTTGCCCAGTTTTTCTTCCTTAACACGATTTAAACAGCTTCTGTTGTCTACAAAAATAACAGTAGGATTTGATTGTTTGCAATTTAAATCATTTAAAATATTTCTAATTCAAATAGTTTTCTTGGTAGTTTCGAACAATGCAATAAACTCTGCTTCCGTTGTGATAACGATACTGTTGTTTGTTTGTTGTAAGCCCTACTAACTGCACTATTATTTAGCAAGAAAATATATCCCCAATTGGATAGGATAGCCTCACTAGCACAAATATCAGGATGAGTATTGAAATAAAAGAAGTTCGGAATTAGTTTTTCCTTAAGAAGGTTCAAGTGGGTGTTTTGATGATTTTGCATCTTGTAAACCAAACTGCTAACATATTCTCAATATACTGCTTTTAGCGTATTTTAAATTGGTGATCTTTTGATTTTATTAATTCAAGCCGTAGTTAATATGATATTTCACCTAAACTATTGACTTCAAATTTGCTGTTGAGTAGTTCAAGAACATGTTTTATTAAATTTTTGTTTATAGAAGCTACGACTAAGTCATCAACATATATTAAGATGTAAATATCTTCCCCATTGATGACTATCCTATATAAACATAAATCTGCTTTGCTGAAATTTACAGGCAACGAGAACATCATTCAAGACTTTATTCTATACGTTAGCTGCTTGCTTAAGTCCATATATTGAACGTTTTAGTTGACATACTAGACTTCCATCGCCTTCAATAAAAACCGGTTGTTATTTCATGTAAATTGTTTCTTGTAGGTATCCGTTTAAAAAAAGGACACTTTACATCCAAATGTTCCACATGAATTCTTCTAACACTAGCAATTGATAAAAGAATACTAAATGTGGCTTGACGCATCACAGGGGCAAATACCTTATCGTAATCACAACCATACTTTTGATTAAAGACTTGTGCGACTAAACGAGCTTTGAAAGGTGGAATTTTTCCATCAGCGCCCTTTTAAGCCATTTACAACCAACTATATTTACATTTGGCGTCGGCTGACCTAAATCGCATGGGTGATTTTTCTTTAGAGGTTCCATCTCCTCCTACATTTCAGATTCCCATTCCCGTTTTTCATATGATTTTACGGCTTATTTATAAGTTTTGGGTTCAACTACTTCTTCAGATTCTGCCAAACGAACTGAGTATTTTGCAGGAGGTACACCTTTATTTATTCTTGAAGATGAAAAGTTTTGGATCAGCCATTCCTCACAAAATTATATCAAAGATTCAATGTTCACAGAAATTTTATAACACAGTGGCCCATCTTATCCTTAAAAATGCTTAATTCAAGACAAGTTCAAGAAATTTTCCTTATTCTATCATCTATTAAACTCAAAACACGGCAAATTATGCTACTTTGTTATTAAAGTTGTCCTAAACTGCATTTTATACAGGACAAATTTGAAAATTTCCTGAAGACAACATCTATGAAAGTGTCGTCAATAACGATCTGGCCAGCTGTGATGTGTAACAAATGTAACCAAAATTTAGTGTTTTTTTAATTATTTTTTTAATAGTCCATGTTTATTTACGACCTAAATACGGATCTCAAAAATAGCATCATTTTTAACAATTTAAATACATTCACTCTGAATTCATACATAATAATAATGCATAATTAATATTAAATTTTTAATTAAATTAGACAAATTTTGTCTAATTCAGAACTGGTCTTTGTATTCTGCATCGTTTATTAAAATACAGAATTCTGATATCTGCTTGTGAACAGCCAATTGTATTGTAAAAAGCCATGTTGTAAAAAAGAACGAAAAAACATCTTCAATATTTATTAAAATACAATTAAATTGAAAAACTAAATTAATTATAGCATGATTTTATTTTATTTATCTTTAAATGTTTACTTTATGAAATTATTCTTCTTTTGTTTTATCTTCTTTAAAATTGGGCATTCACACGAGAATGATAGTTTGACATTGAATACAAAATAAATAAACATATGAAAAACAAACGTAAAGTTATACGTGCTTTTTAATGGAATTTACTAACAACATTTTACACAAGTGTAAACTAATACAAAAATACACGCGATACGTAGATACACGAGGGTTGTGAATTGGACAATTATGTTTTCAAATCCGTCGAATAAAAATTGCAAAAGAAAAAGAATTAAAGATTGTATTTTGATTTGATATAATAATATAAGAGAAAGCTACTGTAAATGGCTATATCTTCCAAACCGTCAGGGATATTGCAATGCATTGAAAATCTTCATTAATTTTAGGACAATTTTGTTAAAATTTTTTTATTTGCTAAATTTCGGGTTTTGAAATACACTGAATAAATATCAGTGTATTTTCTGAAATATGAAATTTGCTATAACTATTTTAACTATTTAGGAATGGGCATTATTTTTAATTTGAAAATAGCTTAACTTGTATTTTTAACGATTTTTTAAATTTTATTTTTTAAACCGCTAAACTCAGCATCAATCAAAATAATTAACATGGTTCTTGTCAGAAGAAAACAATTTTCGAAAAAAATTTATCTAATTACATACATATTAAAAATTTTATAAATATTTTTTTTGTTTATTGTAGATACATTTCGACAACAACAACAAATAATAAAAAAATTTGGAACAAATTACTCAGCAGATGTCTCAAAATATATATTCGATCAGCAAGATTTTAATGAAAATTTAGCAATATCCGAAAATAATCTACCACAAAATTGTGTGGATTCGGTTTGCGAAGTTAATACAACTAAATATGATGTTCATATCACTGAAGACAATAATGTAAATTTAAACAAAACAGAAGTGGATGAATCTGCATCAGAAATAATAAATGAATTACCAAATATTAACTATACAACCCTTTCATACGATTCAATTGATTTTGTAACACAGAACTATGATAGCAATAATAAAGACAATATTTTATCTGTGGATTTGCATGAGACTATTTCGAGAACCCCAAACAATAGTAATGAAATAGATGTTTTAAATATTACGGATTATCCTCAATTATATTTTGAAGAAGTGACAAAAGAAGTAGAAAATGCTAATGACTCATGTGTAGACGAAGAATATAAACACGTGGTTATAAAAAAAGTATTGGTCCAACAACATGCTATTGAATATCCCTTTTTGCAAAATGATGAGAAAAATCTAATTGAGTTAACCTACACTGATCAGTATGCACAGGAAAATAAAACAACAAATGGGAGTACTAATAAAAATTATACACTGGATTTGAAAACTATAAACGAACGCACAATAAGTAATGCGTTAGAGTCAGAGAACATTACAGATTGTACATCTATAGAAAGCAGTGAAGAAAATACATTTACAGCTGACTATTATCAGTCAACGGGAGCGATAAATCAAAATGAAAACAATGTAGTTAAAAATGAGTCCAAGCAACATCTAGAGCAAGACAACTCCGTGAACATAAAAAAAGAAGAAGTCGACGAATTACTTTGGAAAAGTGGTGAAGAACGTTCTTTAAATGAACTGCACCATGAAAAACATGTCAAACAAGGAACTGATCAATATAATCAAACTGATAAATATAGCGAGTCAATTGGGACAGAAACATTGAAAAATAATACTTATCTCTCAAAAATAGAAAAAACTAACTATGAAAACCATGAAACTCATGAAGTTACATCAACAACTTTAAGGACCATAAATGAATCTGAAGCACCTGAAAGCAATATTTCTGAAATTAGTTATATCAATACTAACAACACAACGGAGAAATACGAAAATAATTATATTTTTATTATTCAAAACGAGCAAATAGTTCAATCGAACTTGACAGAACCTGTAAACGATTATAATTCAGTAAGCAAACAAGTAACGCCATTATTATCCGATGACATAGCTGCAACGTTATTCGAAACATATCCCCCACAAGATGTCGGTCAAACGTTCAATGATAATTTGGCAGATGAATCAGATGATTTTGGAAAAGCTCTACCCGTCTCCATCACTGAAGGCTCCAATAGATCTACTATAATAATTGCAATGAGTTCTGCCACAGCTATTCTTTTTATAATAATTTCTGTAACAATATTTCTTATTTCCTTTCAACATCAACATGGTACTTTAGATATAGAAATGCAAGAACGTAATTGTGGTAAAGATGACTTAGATGATGAAGATGCACAAACTATTGCAAAATTATTACAGGTCGAACTTCCACCATCAGTAGCTGTAGCTTTAGACGAATGCGAAGAATGTTTGTAAGAAGAAAAATTTTGCAACTTTCACAAACTATCCAATATTGATTATGTAAATATTAATTCCGATAAGATTTCTTTTTAGTTATTTTATATTATAAAAATTACAAACTATGTAAATGTTTTTTACAAATTTAGTGTTTATTGTACATATCAAGAATTAATTTTAAACATATTCTTAGGCATCAATTTTAAGATTATCAGGTTGATTCAAAGAAACGCCGAATTCAATTAAATTTTGAATTCACATCATCAATACTTTTAAGTATTAATATTTTCAATAAAAATATTGATAAATAAATAATTTTAATTGAGTAAGGAACAGTTCATTTATATTAAAATTATTAAATATTTTCCAAGCTAAACAAAAACGATGACTTTATTCATAATTCATTTAGTCATAATTATTGAAGATTTGGATCCCGAAGATATTGGGGTCTTCAGAAAATTGAATTCAACAATCACGCAGACAGACAGACGTGTCTTAATCGATATCTATAAAAATTCAGAATACATGGGAAATTTTCTTTTTATTTCAGATTTTAGGGTTAAAAAAATGATGAACTTTTGAACATTGCTAATATCTTAGAAGTAAAATTAATTATCTACTCGTGAATAATTTTTAGCAAAAGCCACCAAAGTTAAAAGTTTAAAAAAGAAAATCCTAAAAAAGGGGGTTTTAGCTGAAACTCAAAAATTTAAGTGAGTATATTTATTACCCACAACTTAGGACATTAACCTTAATATTTTAAATATTAGCGAATAAATACACTTTTTAAAAGTTTTTTAACCTCTTAAAAAACGTTTTTTAACTAAGTATTTTTTTATAAATTGTTTAAAATCATTAAAAAAATAAAAATGTATTTATGTATTGATGTTAAAAATTGTGAGGATTTACTCGAAATGAGTTAAAGAGTTGTTAGAGAGAGTATTAAAATTTATTCATGCTTACGCTCTTTTGCGTTTCAGGTGACGATATGTATATTATTATATATAAATAATAAATTTTAACTTTTAGTTTATTACTACAACATGAAATTATGATTTTAAAATTAGTCAAATATCAAAGAAATTTATCAAAAATTACAAGGAAAATATGTAAAAATAGAAAATGTACAATTATTTTGTCGCAAAATATCCATTATTCGGATACTTTTAATAATAATTAGAAATTGTATGTTATATTCATGCGTATATGTACATACAGTGAATCAACTAAGTTTTTTGCCTACCTTTTTTTAAGAGAATTTTGTTTTTTGTTCATAAATAAAATTCAAAAAAACAGGTAAAAAGTAAAATTATGTTTTCCAATTGAAAATAGAGATTATGTAGAATGGGAAAACCATGAAAAAATATTAAAATAAAAATTTTGGTGCATTTGTTGTTGCATTTTATTATTTTTCATCAGAATTTGCACGTCAATAAAGTATTTTGCATATTGAAATTTCCAGTTAATTTCGTTGGGTTTTTCAAATTATTTTTTAATTGCTTTTTGGAATTTATTGTTAAAAGGACACGTGTTAAGTATTTTTCAATTGTAATTTTCAAAAATCATATCCTTATTGTGTGAAACTGTGTAGTTATTTGCGTCAAAAATGTTTAAAGGGAAATACTGAGGCAATTCCAATATAAAAAATTAGTTTATATTTTTAGAACAAGTATAAATCAATGAAATTCAATTATGAGATGTTTAATCAATCATTAAAAAATATAAAATATAGAAATTGATGAAATAACACAAAGAATTATTAAAAAAACGCACTGAGTTGTCTTTCAAAATCTTTAACTGCCAAAGGAGAGCGACTTGTATCCAAGCAAAAACCACTGAAGTCCTCATTTTTCTTCTCCAAAGTCCATATACGAACTTAAAAGAACACTATGTTTAAATTTAGACCTCTAAACAGACCATAGGTTGCTTGGAAACAATATAAAGTGACCTATCGTGTGGTACGGGAAAAATACTTAATTTAGATATTTACAAATAGAGGCGGTTCTCATCACCTAAGATCCACAAAAGCAATATTTTTCAGCTAATACATACACTTATATATAGTTAGAACCCAATCAAGAATCCAAATCCAACTACGCCTACTGTATTTTATTCATAAAATAATGCATTCAAAATATGAGGTAGAATATCAAGATTCTAGCATGTAATAGTTCTATAGTGGTAAACGGTGATATCCCCATACTTAGAGTGGCTAGGATGGTACTTAGTGTTAGCTTTATTGAATAAGAATCAATATTATACAATTCTAAATGAAATTCACACAGTACTCCCCAAATAGATGGGGTTTCCGTAATGTAGTTTTTATTTATCAATACAAAATGACCAAAAACCCAGATTATATTTGTTATAATCTATAGATTTATACCCCACTAAAATTTTTTTCTAGGTCCAAATCCATTGATTTCCTAATATATCATGTATCCAATTCAAAATTACTTATTATTTTCGAAATTAAATCAAAGAAACGATAGATTTCATGTTAAGTCAAATATTGAAAAATTCTTATAGGTATATAGGATAATAAATCGGTTAAGAAATGTCCAAACTTAGTCGTTCCACTACTAAAATTTTATTCTAATACATAGGAGTAATAAAAATATTAAATTTTATAAAATAATGCAGCAATATTAAAAAAATGAACAAAAAACCTAAAAAAGCAAAATACTTTATTGACCTTAAAAGTTAACAATACGTTCACATTTTATCAAAAATCTCGTTAATTAATATCACGATTTTACTTTTTATGGTAGAAAATTAAAACATAAGATATTCTTTAAAAAGTACAACAAACAAATTGCTTTATCTTGCTAAAAATAATTGTTCAGATAAAGTTTTTTTCTTAAAATTTATAAAATTTTACATAGGCAAATTACTTAATTGATTCACTGTATGTATATGGATGTAATAAATGTTTATTTAGTTCAGATGTATAAATATAACATAGTTTTTAATTATTATTAAAAGTATCCGAATAACGAATATATTGCGACAAAATAAACATCACTATTGCTCATTTTCTTATTTGTACTAATTTTTATTTCGATAATTTTTTGCAAATATTGGTAACTTTCTTTTATATTAGACTAATTTTAACGCAGGGGAATATATTTTGCATTTGTATATATAATTATAATTATTTCATTTCATATTGCCTAAAATAGTGCTGGCCAATTGAAATATTGTCAAACATTCATTATTCATTCAGACAGATGATGATCAGAGGTTCAATTCGAGTGGCTCAGAGCCTGCTTGGCGCCGCAGCCGACTTTTTTATATATCCAGCCGCCAATTTAATCGGCTTATATTTATTTGCCGCATTTGCAAAAAATTGTGGTTGAATAAACTTTAAATCAATAAAATACTAAAATTATTTTTTGACTAAGCACATAAACATTAGGGTGGGTTGAAAAAAATTTGAGTCAGTCACCCCCTACGATTAAAGATATGTTAATAACATTTCCAAAAATATAAAAAAATATTTTATTGCAACGCCTAAAAATGCCGCCCTGTTTGTTTTTTATATATTACGCCGCCATTTTAAGTCCGATCGTAACATATTATATATCAATATTTATGCTTGACTGTGGCTATATTTCACTCTTAGACAATTTTTTAATTCGGTGTCATATTCCTTGCGCGATTCCTGATATCTCGGATCCTTCCCCAAAATCTAAAATTGTTTGTTAGTTGTGTTATTCAAATAATTTTTAAAATGAGCACATTAAAATTTAAAAAATGAATTTCGTCACCTAAAACGTAAACGGCCCTATCTAACGTTCTTAAAATTTAACAAGAGAAGCAAAAAAGTATTTAAATTGAAAAGTTTGTTTTTATCATCGCGATTTACTTGTATTAAATAAACAAATTGTTTAATGGCGTATATAAAAATAGATAAATTGGACTTTTTACCCTTAATATTAAAATGTTTCTGTAGATAGGGCCTTTTGTTTACATTAGAATCAACAATAAAATCGATTTTGAATTTTTCGTTAGTTAGCGTTTCAGGTGACGATTTAAATTACATGTGTTCACCCTGTTTTAAACAAGATGAGTATAAATATTTCCATTAGAATACAGGCACAGGTGTATGTGATAAAATTAAGTTTTAAAAATTAATCGATTTCAAATCGAGAGGTTTTTCTTAAACTTTTATTATATGTTTTCAATTAATTCTCGTAAATAGAAAGAATTTTGTTGTCTGTGTAGTATTTCGCATTTTTTGATCGAAATTCATCACACCCTTTTAAATCTTTCGAATTTAATCACATATCGTAATACATATATCAAATATCCTAACTTCAGGAGAAGATTAAAGAAGAAAAGGAAATTACAAATTTATAATAAGGAATTGTGCCGGTGAAACATATTGGTGTACATGGTCCATTTTACTTAAAATGAATCATGTACTATAATCATTTTGCAATACATCTGTTTCGTGGTATTCATGAGAAAAGAAACCGACTTAGTACTTAAACTATAAAAGACTTTTATTAAAGACAGTAAAAAAAAGTTGAGTTGTATTTGCTATAAGCTTAAATATTGTTTCCAGATACATTTTTTAAATTTTTTCCCCAAATTACGATGTTTTTGAAATTTTTCTCTGAAAATTTGAATTATAAAAACAGTGTCTCCAGCCGGCTTCTAGCCGCCGCCGATTTATTTTTGCTGAAAGGACTAAAAAATATATTTCCGAAACAGAGGTGACCCTTTATTCGTCTTCAATAATTTAATCCAGTTAATTTTAAATATAAATATTCCATTTTTTTGTCGATCAATATTGTTAAATTAACAACATAAAATCCCCAGCGTTTCGCGTAAACAGTCAAAACCACGCAGTAAAATAATTCGTAGGTATTTTACAAATTAAATTTATGGTCCAAGTACACAGTAAATTCGCAAAGAGTGCAATTCATATATTATGCGGATACCGCATTCCCCAACAACATCGAAGAAGACCAACTTTCTCATATTATTTTCTCGAAAACTTAGCTTACATACTCAGCTCACATCTCTGCAATCGCAGCACATTTTAGAATCGTTACTCTTTAAGCATGTCGACCATACTTGATAAACCTTTTCGCTACCTTGACGAGAAATGAACGTGAAAGTTCTCACGATCATAAAATTAAACATTAACAATTCAACAAAGCAGTCATTCTTTCTTCAAAACCATTCAATGGAAAACCTCTC